CGGGTTGCTCCGGCCTCGTCCTGCGTGAAGGCGAGCTCTCGTTAATCGACAATGGCGAAATCATCCCAAGTCAGCAGAAAAAGAGCGGTCTTGAGCCTCGGTGAGGATTTCACGGGTAATAATAATTGGCGTTATTAATCTTGTATTTACCGAAACCAGCTTGCGCCTGTGAACCCGTCGTTGCAGTGTAAAGCCCAGTCAGTGCCCTTGTCCGTGCCCCAAACGTAGCATTTGCAAACAGATAAAGCCAGCCCCAGAGGCGCAGAGCAGATTAGCACAGGAAACACTATTTCACAATAACATCTCTGGGTGCTGACATTGCCAAGTCACAGAAATGAATTCCGATTCATCTCCGAGATAGTGACCGGGCTGACGCAGCCAATGTCAAGCGGAGCAGCATAGGGCTCTGCCTGCGTACTCGTATTGGTGTTTACGTACTTTGGTACTGACCCCCCACCCACCCATACACTGATTGTTGTACCGTACATCTATGCTCCACGCCATAACACCGTGAAGAGGTGGAAGTGGCAAGTGAAATGTGAACCGTTACGACTCCACTTCACCCCTCGCCCCCGCACTGACTCATCCTGACCAGCGTGGTGACATAGGGGCCTATAAACCCCCCGCGCGGTGGAGGAGACATGCATCCAAGCAGTGGAATGACAAAAGGCCTGCACATGTGTTGCTTGAGAAGATACAGCAGCAGCAACAAGAAGCAGTTACGACTGAAGACGTCATTCGTTGGTGGTGGAGAGTTCGTGATAATTATAACCTTGCAGATTAAAATGTGTTCTGCCTTACGTACACACAGGATATCCATTACGGTACCAGCCATTATATTATCAGAGAATTACGATTAGACGGGGAGTTTGAACTATGTGGTTGAAATGTTTGCAGTGTAGTTCTTATATCTATGTAAGTACAGGGTTTTTTTTATTCTTCAAAAAGCTCGAGTCATCTTCAACAGCAAATAACAGAAGCATCCGAAACAATCAGAGCCGACGTATTGGCGATCGTCCAGGACTCTCAAATCTCGCTACTGTGAAGTTCAGACGGGGATAATACTCGTACCAATACAATCTCTATACGACCAAATCACGCCTGCGGTTCTACCTACCCAGCTAAAAGAGCAGTTCAATTATTTAACTCGTTTAAACGGACGTTATATTCGGGGGTATGATTTGTCCAATCACAAGCAACTGTTTTATCAATTCCTGCGCTGCATTCTTACGATGCACACGTGTCGAATTGTTTGCACGAAAAATGTATGATTTTCGATTTTTTTGGCGTTAACATTGCACAGATGAGTCATATTGCCCTACGCAGCCACGAGAAACCACACCGTACTTGCGCAACACAATGCGAAAGAACCGATTGTGGCCGAATTTGTGAATATTCTCGAGGGATTTTGAGCCATCGCGTAGTCTTTGCGCCCTTCAAAGACGCCCGGGCCAAGGTGCGAAAGAGTAGGCCAAATATCATCGAGAGCTTTTCTCTCGATGGCAGCAGTGGCGTGATCAAACAATTACAGAGCCGCAACATCGCCTTTCCTTTGTACCCTGTACGTTTGAAAAAAAAATAGGGTTTTTTTTTTACAACGTATGCCACGCATTTATGTTGTGTGCGAAGTTATTTATATACAGTGTAAATAAACACGTACACACATTGTGGTAAGCACCGCGCGAAGAGTTGACCTTTACCTCCGCGTGTGTATAAATACGACTTCTATTTCCAGCGCACAGAGGCTGAAATCCCCCTTCGGGGGACGGAATAAAACTTCTGGCCCTACCAAATTACTTCTCCAGCCCTGGCTACCTCCCCAAATCAAGTACCTTCGCACACATCCTGGAGAGATCTCGTATTAATGCACAGGTCATTTGCCGCCTTAAACTGGAAGGCATCCCCATTTTCCTCGGAAAAAACACACACACACACCTCTATTTTTAGCAGGTGCTCTTTTTTTGCCAATGCTTCAAACAGAGGATGATATTTTTTGTTGTTGAAAAAAAGAATACACAAGCTACAGGTTTAGTAATTGAGGTTAGCTAATGGACGTGGGTTGGACGGATACAAAAAAAGACTGCAGTGTTAATAACATGGGAGAGAATCGATAGCCGGATAACCCATCCCAACACTTGGAAAACGTCGCCGGTGCTCTATGAACCGTGACAAACAACAATCGAGACCGGTGGCTGCCACCAAAGGGCAGCACTCAGAATATTTGAACGTGGGGATTTTCGTCAAAATTTGCACTAGTCCCTTTAAACATAATCTATTCAAAGGCCCTCTCTCCGTGCGCGCTAATCCTTTAAAAAGAATAAGTGCTTTTCATGCCTGTTGTGTCACCTTGTTGTTGGTGGTGTGCAGAAGTATTAAAATGTGCAAAAATCAAGGAATGAAAGGGGGCAGGGCAAATAGACGCACCGATTAATGCGGAAGCATTGCATTTTTTATTTTAAATAAAATCTAATAGATTACGATGTCAGTGGTGCAATAGCACATGCTGGACATGAATTGGCAGCCCTTTGTCAATCCACTGTTGGATGAAGGCTACTCCAGTTGATATTGCTACTATTTTTACTTTACCAGGTAAGGGCCACTGAGCTATATAGCTCTTTTTCAGATGCGACTTCGCTACAAATGATAAGCCGATGAAGCAGCTTGTCGCGTGGAAATGTATAGCAGCCAAATACACTAAACTCTAAATGTTTTTTTTTATAAATGTGAAAGGAAAAACTGGAGGACTCGGAGAAAAATCCACGCGACCACGAAGATAGAGAGAAAGAGACATGCAAACTCCAAATATACAGGCGTCTGGATCGGGATCGAACCCACGGCCTCATGTATACCAGGCGAGGTAGTTAACATTTTGCTGCCACGGCACCTTCAGTTTTAGGAATTGTTTGGCCATACTTCATCACACTGGTCAGTGAAAATTGGTGAGTGACTCCACCAACCCGTACTGGGGGTTTGGGACCAGGTCATATGTCACTCGCCACTGTTACCACTCTACCCAAATAGTGGTATCTCATCAACTCTCACAAGCAGGCTTGGATAGAACTTTGATGGGCGGCCACCAGAACGTGCCAGGCGTGGGATTGTGAGGTGGCCAGGAGATGGCAGTGCTGAGTGTCACCCCGTCTGTTGCAACTTTGTTATTCTCTGCAAGTTCTCTGATTTCCTTCCACATGCAAAGCCAAACGCTTATTCACGGTATTGGGCAAACATTCCAATTCAGGATGCTCCTGAAACAGATCCTTGAGAATCCACTTTTTTTTTACTTTACCGCCACTGTCAATTGTGTAACATCTGAAAAATTGAAAATAAGCGAATATTTCAGTCGAGAACAATATACAATAAGTCAACGTTCGAAGGGCGACTGCTTGAAACGTTAGCTTAATTTTATACACAAATATATGTATACAGTATTAAAATGTACACGTTCGTGTTAGTTAACGACGACGGCGGCAAAGTTTAACTCTCGTTTTGTTTTTGTCCATTAAAGCATTCATGCCACCATGACTTGGGGCATTCACAGTCCGAATTAAATGTGTATTCCAGCTCCTTTTAGCCGACGGCAAAACAACAGCTTGTGTTCTCTAAACGCTCCGGTATCTTAACCATTTCACCGGCAGCTGCCAAGGCACACAAGATGAAAAGCAACGGCACAATGTTCATCCAGTAACTTATCCCGCGGTGATTTTACAGAGTGATGGATTTTCATGCTTTGGACCCGTGCGAAAATGATCATGCAAACGCCGATTCTTAAATAAATTCCCTGCAGTTGTCAAATTTTTTTTCTGAGCACAGGCGTCGGACTAAAAACATTTGTTTTTAATGCCGCGGGTGCAAGAGTTCATTGTTCACTCCTTGCGCCTTTGGGGTAATGGCTGGCGGGTTGCATACTGCACATACTGAAGCAGACTAATTTTGGACAACAAAAAATATTCGCACTTTTATACTTTGAATGAAGATTATATTTTTCTTTTTCTTGGACAACGAATTACACGCAAACATGCTTCAAATAACCTCTCTCGTGCTACTGGCTATGTGAAAGCTCCTAATGATTGTCTGCTTCAGACCGCATTGTATGCGTTATGACCCGGAGGTTGATGCTTGGTATTTTGTTTGATCCAAGTGATAAATCATAAAAGTCAGCTTAAGGAATGGTCACATGTTGAAATAACCATAAGGGCTGAGCGATGAGTTGGAGGAAAAGCACGCAGTGAGTCACGTTTGCAGTACGTGTGAAAAGTGGTCATTCGTTAGGTTCGCCATCTTACTGTCGTTACAATGAGCTGCTGCGATGGCTGAGATTTGTGTCCCGTTTTGGTTCGCAGCGTTATTGTGATAACAGTGCTCTTGAGCCAGGCGCCGGAAAAAGACGCACACCAAAAAAACCGCTGTGCAGTGTTCCGCAGTCGCGGGTGTTTTGCGTGACCGTATTCAACTGCAGGGCACAACATATACACGTGCATTTATTTATATCGTAAAAAAGTGAAACGCATTGCCCATTTGTGAAAGATTCTTATTCACAATTGTAAAAATCCATATAACAAATGGCATCACATCCAAGCCCATCCCACATCAAAGTGAATAGTCACAGCTTTGATGTCTACACTGCAGTATTTTATTTTTTATAATTTCTGGTAAGAGTAATTCACCATTATTATTATTCGCCTCCTAGTTTCCTAAATAGCCTTAAAAGCATTCAACCACTGGGACTTCACTCGGGCCCACGTATACAAAACAACACGAAGGCCAGCCTCATTGGCCTGAGAAAGGATTCTCTCTCTCCTTGGCAGACACTGAAGGCTCACCATTCCACATCGAGTGCGAATTTCCCCAATGCCATTGCCCGGCGGCACAAAATCATTGCGAATTTGCGTCGCCGACACCTGATGTGGCATTGCCTTCTACGGGAGTCCAAGCGGGCAATTGGGCAGGAGCCTGCGCTGGAGGTCATTCTGCGCCGCGTCTGTCTTGCATGGCCACGTGGCTCTCCTCCGTCTGTTTGGATCTTGCGCCGCTCGTCAAACAAGAGGAGCCTTGCGGCGACGCAAGCCAGAGCTACGAAATGCAGCTGGCCAACGGTGGCCACCGCCGGCTGGCAGCAAGATAAACAACAGCCACAACGACGGCACAACAAACCAACAATTCTACGAAACGCACAAACATGCAGCAATGTCCGAAGTAAATGCATTCTCGCAATCAGTGCTGTGGCTGGTCAACACAAACTGGTTTTTGCTCCATATTTGTTTCTAGGCCCCCCCCCCCCCCGCCACTCCTCATCTCCCCCCCCTCGCCTCCCTTCCACCTCCCCCGCCCCCCAATAGTTTCACGGGTGAAATTTGCCGTGAAAAGTCACTTTCTTCGAGTGACCCGATGCGAAAATCTGCTCATTTCGCACAGAGCCCAGCTGTGTGAGGCAGCGAAATAACAGAGACACGAGTGGAAGCACCTGTAATTTGCTGCGGCTTGTTAGTCAACGCATGTACCCCCCCCCCCCAAACAGAAGCCCGACATCGGTGTTTTTGGTCCAATGACGGTGAAGCCAAACAGCACAACGGCTGTTCGGCCCGTTGTGTTTTCTTTTGGCCGGTGGGTCACTTGTCCGTATGACAGCTCGTCAAATGCTGCGGGCTCAAACAGAACCGTATGAATTATTTAAACCAGATCCGCCCCCCCCCCCCAAGCCAACAATCTCAATGTCCATTACACCGTTATTTATTTATTTGCTTTTACATTCATTGCTTCATGCCCGCATGTGGTCATGGTGAGATTTCTCATTACACGGGCAACATTTTTGTCAGGCGAAGTCGGCTCGTGCTTTTGAACAGTTTTGCGCGCGCGCGCACACACACAAGCATAATGCAATCAAAGGGGATGCACAGCCAAGGAAGAGATGTATGGAGAGAGAGAGAACAAAAAATGGTATTGGAAATGGAACCCGTATCGTTTAGCTCCTGTTTGATGCCAGCTTATTGTTCTGAATATTTTGAGATCCAAGGGCACGGCACAATAGGGATCGCTTAACACCGCTGTGTCAAGACTTCATTATAACGTGTGAACTCAACAGTTACAGAATTGACATCACCCCTAAAGATTAGGATTCTGAGGGCGAAACCATAGCATTGATTAATAAATTGCACAATAAAACGGGCAAATTTACGAGTTAATGCACTAATTATTTTACTGTTTAGCAAATGGTTACATTAATTGACTGCACATAATTGGTGTATTCATTTCACAAATTAACTACATTTTAATACAACAGGATTGTATTTGTATGAATGTTTTTAAATGTCCAGACATGATGACGCAGATTTGGATCCGTGTCAATGTGGCTTCCGTCTCCACGTACTCTTACCCCGGCTATAAACGAAGCCAAACGAAGGTCGTGTCTGTGTATGTGAGCGAAGGCCGCAACGACCATCGCTTCATTATTAATCACTTGCACATTTTGTCTGGGCCCATCCCCCCCCCCCTGCAACGACTGCACACTGTTCGTATATCATCACAAATTTTAAGAACACCGCAGTAGATCGGTGAGTACGCACGCGTCCGTCCGTGCGTGTGCGCGCACGTGCGAGCGGTCGTTACGATTTCGTGCAACAAATAATTGCCCGCAGGTGCAAAAGAAAAAGGCAAGCCTTTGTTGCTTTCGGCCATTAAAGCCCTTGAGAACGTTTGCAGGATGCACGTCGTTGATAACGCCACTCTGGCGTGCCAACGGCACCAAGCTGCCATTGCTCTGGGATGCAGCGTCGAGCGTCAACCGGGCTTTTAGATTCACCCGCGGACCTGAAGCACGGGCTAGAGCTCGTCGTGTATTTTATTATTTAATAAAGGTGCGCGCGACAACGTAGCGAGCTTAGGCGAAATAAAAACAACCCATCACTAGAATATTGTGCCAACGTGTTTTGATGCGGGTACGAGGATCTATCAGTGAAGCTGAGCCTTTGGCAAGGAGGGGGGGGAGGGGGACTTAGCCCCCGATGAGACAAAGATCCCCCGTGTAGCCTGTAACAGACTGTTGGGGAAAGTGCTGTTCGCGAGCACCTAGGAAGTTCAACGCGGCACACAAGGGGGTGAGTAGCCAGCACCACGCCCGACCACCTTTGTCTCACTCGCGGCAATGTTTACACACCGCACCGAGTACTCATTTGAGGCTGAGTCGACCTAGGAGAGGCCAAGGATCGGTCCAGATGATCATTACTGGTGTTGGCCTTGAGCGGGAATCAAAATTAGGTCACCGGGTTCGTAGCACAGTAGCGTACTCACTGCTACACTGCCTGTCCCAATAGCAACAGTAAATTGGTGGCTCTAAAATCGGAAGGACGCTGACACACAGCTTTAGAATATGTTGAACAGCTTCCATTACTTTATTAACCGTCTTATTTTGCCATGTGTGGTGACTCGCATCTGGAATAGAGCACCGTGGAGGCAAGAGTTGGTGGATCACAGAGAGATCTGCGAAACTGTGAAACCCCACTTAGCTGGGAGGTGGCCTGGAGGTGGCCACGAGATGGCAGGACAATCAATATCTAATTCCCAAATATCCCCAGGTTGTCTCTGGGCACTCTGCTCCACTTCACTTGCCTCCCGCATTCAAAACCATTCTTCAGAATCATAATATTTATTTATTAAAACTGGAGGATTCCGATGAGCTGGGGAGCTTTTTTTCACAGTTGAACTAACATGATCCTACTCATTGTTTATTTGCGGTAAAGTCACGTATGTAGAAAAACAATAAAATTATATTAAAACAAAAAAACAATCACGACGTTTCGATCACAACGCAAGCGATCTTCATCAGGTGTCAAGAACAAATCACGGAGGTAAATACAACAAAAAGATGAGAGACGAGAATTCAACAAACCTGAAAAAACATTACGTGAAGCACATCCAGTCAGGCCAACAACACAGTTAGACACTTCCTGGCGGACCACGAATTTCAGAAGAGTGTTAAATTTCGTGTTCAACCTTTGGATTGCACATACCAGCATAGATAGAATGAAAAATACGAGGTACACGGTCAGTAGAAATACATATACAAGTCCACCAAGAGGTAAGGAGGGAGGAAAGACGGACAGGGAGGCAGAGAGAGAGGGGGGGGGGGGGGGGGGGCCGGAGGGATGAACAGAAGCTTAAATGGGAAATACGGTTGGAGGGGGGGGGGGGCAGAGCGAGAGCGGCAGCTCAAACACACACATCTTACACATACAAAACGGCAGCTCAAAAAAGGACCACCTCTTGTAAATACAAAACGGCAGCTCAAAAAATGTCCTTTTTTGAGCTGCCGTTTTGTATGTGTAAGATGTGCGTGTTTGAGCTGCCGCTCTCGCTCTGGCCCCTCCCCCCCTCCAACCGTATTTCCTATTTAAGCTTCTGTTCATCCCCCCCCCCCTCTCTCTCTGCCTCCCTGTCCGTCTTTCCTCCCTCCTTACCTCTTGGTGGACTTGTATATGTATTTCTACTGACCGTGTACATCGTATTTTTCATTCTATCTATGCTGGTATGTGCAATCCAAAGGTTGAACACGAAATTTAACACTCTTCTGAAATTCGTGGTCCGCCAGGAAGTGTCTAACTGTGTTGTTTGCCTGACTGGATGTGCTTCACATGTTTTTTCAGGTTTGTTGAATTCTCGTCTCTCATCTTTTTGTTGTATTTACCTCCGTGATTTGTTCTTGACACCTGATGAAGATCGCTTGCGTTGTGATCGAAACGTCGTGATTGTTTTTTGTTTTAATATAATTTTATTGTATTTCTACATACGTGACTTTACCGCAAAAAACAATGAGTAATTTTATGCAGTCACGAAAGCTTTAATACTTTATTATTAACATGATCCTCTTGTACAGTGTTGAAATGTTAATCATGCGTATCTGAAAAGCACATTTGAATAATATTTATTCGTAGTTTGTGATTGATTTTTGTTTGCAAACGAGACACGGTGCCTGGAAATTATCTTACTGCAAAGTAAGTAAAAAAACTATTCAATTCCCTTTCATCGGCATCTTGCCAACAGCATCTGGTAACTCTGCAGCATTTGTTTAGCAGGCTGGACTGCTGATGAGAGAGTCGAAGCTACCGAATCATGTTGGTCTGGCAAGCCAATGGGTCGATGGACTACAACATAATTTAATTTATACGAGGAGACACAAAACCGAGTTCTGCTCATGTATGCTTTTTTTTACCACAATGCACCACAGCAAATTGGTTGGTATGCAATTTAGTCTCGGTATTGTTTCACAATGTTACGCATAAATTTTGATTTAAAGCTTTCGTGACTGCAAATTTTCTTGCTGTGGTTTTCACACCTGATAATTGCTTGTGTTGCAGTCGAAACGTCGTGAGAATTGTATTGTTTTATATTTGTATTATTTTATTGTTTCCCTTCTACGTGACTTTACCGAAAGAACCAACAATATAATGTTACGCATATCAACTATGAAACCCCATGCATTTTGAAATCATGCAATTGCCGTTCTCAGGAAAGAAAAACAATTCAAATTCAATCTAAAAAAGTACCTCAGGACGATCGTCAATGGCAATATTTGCGTGCGACAGCGCTCCATAATGTGGGCTGACGTTTCAGGAAGTGGCCCTTCGTCGCAGAACAGAGACCATTTGCCGTAATTACCGAGAGCTCGTGCGCCATCGCACTCGGCATCACAAAGGGAATGCATCTTTTTCCCCCCCATTTTTCGTTGCGCTGGGGTTAATGCCCCGTGCCAGCCTTTTGTTCAATCAGCTCGCTGCCACGGCAACCGAGTTTTCAACTAGATTCTGTCAGTTGTCATAGCAACTCGGGCTCTTCAGTCCTTGGAAAGAGCCGAGCGCACGAGTGCAGAGGACCTGAGACGGCGATTTGCGACCCAGGGTTTGGACGCTCAAGGGCACAAATTGCTGAAATTGTCTCCCAAACGTAAATATATATATACAATGCAGCATAATTAAAGCACTAAATTCATCAATACATGTATGACAACCACTATTTTCTTCCATTGCTTTGAACACCGATTATTTTGTCCGTGTAAGGGGTAAACCATACACATGCAAATGATTGGTTGCTCAGCAAAAAAAATACTCATCCCTCTGTCTGTCTCGAATTACGTTAACTGCTAAAATACTGTATTGATTTTTGTCCGTTATCCCATCAATATAAGTCCAATTGTGAATCTGGCG